TTCGTTGGTCCAGCTTGGTAGTTAATCGATCGATATTAAAGTTGACAGACTGTCGACTTTACTATCGATTGAATATTTAAACGATGTTAATGCTTTATTGCTCTTCAAAGCCACGTGCGTGGTGCATGGAACGAACACACGCCAAGCACAACACACGTGAAATTGTTTTTTTTAATCGTGAATAAAGCATTTCAAATTATGAATCGACGATTATGTTGTACAATAATAGTAATAATGAGAAACTTTGAGAACCAGAAATGTCTGTCAATCCATTTAAAGATAAACATTTTTAATTTTTCGTTTCGAAACATTTAAAAAAAATTAATTGCTACGTTATAAATCAGGAGAGTGGAGTACACACAATTCTGAGTACGTGAGTGGCGCATTGCTCGTTAAGGAACGCAGCGCGCTATCTTGAAGACCGATCTCTTTGAAAGAATTTTCAGAGAGCTTCTCGATACTTCGGTAATTGAGAAACAGCCATCGGCCATCGTAAAACGTAACGTAGAAAAATACGCAGTGCCCGCAGCAGTTTCGCAGGGAGGCTTTTCCCATTCGACCGGGAATAACTCACGATCGGTCGGCGATCAGTACGACGGGGAAGGCGAGGTAAGGAGGCGAGGCTGAGGACGAGCGAAGGTCCACAGGCTTGAAATCTAGTTCTTCCGAGAAAATATTTCGCACGAGACCGGCGATAAATCGAATGACTTATTACTGCGAGCTGTGTAATCTCGGACTCGCTCGGAAGAAATGTGCTACGCCATCGAAAATAGATATGTCGCGAGCCAGATCCATTCAAAAACACGACCATGAATTTTACATCAGCACATCAGGCCAAAGCTAACAGATTCTGAATTGAAATTAAATCGGGACGTGCGGCCGAGGAAGCCGAGGAAGAAAGGAGAAGCTGCCCATCGTTCTCCACTTACCGCACTGATTGATTTACGACTGGCACAGCGCAACGGAGACGAGTGAAGCAATGATCGATCAGCATAAAGATCGCAGTGTATTGATAACGGAAAACGTACAAAAAATTTTTTCTTTAATACAGAAGGTGAAAGCAGAGGCGAGGTAGCCTACGAGTTAGTTGATTACAATGCATATTGTAATTACAGCCCGTTTTCTATTCGACCTGGTTACACGAAAATTAGTTAACAACCCGAGTCGAATATTTTGACCTCGGTTTAGCTTCGTATAATTTTTTAATTGGGAGCAATGAGGTCGAACCAAAGTCTTTGTGTCTGAGAAAATATATTGAAGTTTTGGCCTCAGATAGGCCTGAAAAGAGTCGCTATTTCCCTTTTAGCAGCAAAGAGGCCAATGCGAGTGTAATCAACAGAGGTTCGGTAGATCCTCTTTGGCCCAAGAGGTTTCAAAGAGAGTGAAATATTTTATTACATTCTCTTTGAGAGCTAGAATAAGGTTAAACACATTTTTTTTACGTATCTGGGCCTCAAATCGGAGTTTTAAACCGAGGTCCAAATGAAGAGAGAATAGAATTGAGGTCCATTCCGGGATCAAATACTCTACTCGGCAATCTACCGCGTCTAAGAAATAATATGTTATTTTACATTTTGAATATACTGAAATTGAAAAGGAGAATTATGATAAAGAAGGGATATCCGTTTAAACAAGTGTCCAAGTTTTCAATACTCAAGGATTGTCTGCACCGAAAAAAATTATATCGCTTTGCCGGACGACCTTTAACACAGGAACGATGACGGCGAAGGGATATTAATGCCGCGGATCCGTCTCGACGAACCAATAAATTCCGAGTTTAAATCCGGTGGTTTAACTTTAGTGTTGCCGAACGATCACGCGAGTTCAATCGTCGCACGATATTTCGTTTCGGAATGTTTATCGCAGAACTTTGGTATTCCCGCTAACTTATGATTCCGCATATTTTCTTGCACGAGTGAAGTCACCTTTAACTTTCCAAATGTGTTCGTTGTGTACTTTAATTGTGCACCGAAACGGAGTAGAAGAAAGTTCCAGCGTTAAAATGTACATCGCTTCATTAAAAAATATATCTTTCTTTTTTGTCCTTGTTTTACTATTGTAATAAGTAATTTGTTCATATAACAAATATCTCCAAAGCACCGAGATTTTTATCAAATCGAGTGAAATACAGAAACCTTGAGAAAGTTGAGAATTCGGAATTAATGAAAGTTTGAATGCCGCGACATTTTCTATCTTATCTCTCCTTTACAATTTCAGCGATATGACAAGAAACTTGCCTCGAAAATCGCAACAAGTTCCTAGCGGTCAAAACCCGTTTCCGCGGAGATTAACGTCGCAAAACGTCCTAGGTGAAGCCAATGCCGGCCATGTGTCGAAAGTTGGCTATTCGCGAAGCTGTTCGCGACATGTCGATGTTTTTCCGTGGGAGAGAGTTTCTCAAATCGTGCGATTTAATTCCGGCCGAGTCGTACACGGCTGCGAAACTTCGTTGACCGAACGAAATGCAGTTTTGTCGCGGTCGGGCGCCGATGCGCTGTGATGGCAGGTCGCACCGCGGTTGCGGTGATTCTATTATACGTTGCACTGTTACCGAACGTGTCATCCGTAATTATGATTGACGAACCGATTTATTATACGCGTATGCGCGTCACTCTTAGCGTAATCAGTTACGCATAAATCATACAAACAGCGCACTACCCACATATGTATATGTGCGTAAACTGCATATATAGCGGATGAGACGTGTACGGTCGTTATTTTGAAGGCACCTACAGGCTAGATATCTGGGTTAGTGTATGACAGCAATTAGCAAGTCACTACTGCTATTAACTCGAATATGACTTTTTAGTTATTACAGCTATATCTGGCTCGACTACTGCTTTATCCACGTGCGCCACATTGACGATTTCTTACCGTATTTAACGCGTCGATCGACTAGAAATGTCTGTGACAAAGACGGCTTTATAATATAGTGGCGGGAGTGTCGTTCGCTAAATTATGTACTCGTCTAAAGTTATTTTCGGATTTCTATATCAGGACAGAATAGTCGGACGAAGTGGCACGAGTTGATAGAAGTCGCCGCGTGCAGAAATCTCTTTAATGCAAGCGTCCTTGAATACTAATAGGCGAGGATATGT